ACGCGTGGCCTAGTAATCGAGCAAATAGATTAATCGACCTCCCAGCATGATCGAGGATGTACTACAAGGAGATAATGAGAAGTTATGCTAGACCGAGAATTGGGGTGTAGCAATCCCTGATTTATCGGGGACGTGGCCCGAGCGGTTAGGTCGTGGATCAGGCCACTATCCGTGTGTATATATATATAAAGTGAGGTAACGGATTTGGACACACAACAACTCTCTAGATACATTTTCTACCGTCATCAACATCCAGATAATTAACTTAAGCATCGGAGGACCGAGCAAAAACCCTTTCTCTCCGGTCTTGGCTTTTTTGCAGGTACTCGGAACAATTGACCGCGTGAAGGACGAGATCCCAAGCAGTCTAGCCGGTCGGAGGTATATTTTCATACCAATAATAATAATAATAATAATAATAATAATAATAATAATAATAATAATAATAATAATAATAATAATAATAATAATAATAATAATAATAATAATAGAAAACATGTGAGATGGAATGAGCAATATTTTTGTGTGTGTGTGTGTGTGTGTGTGTTTTTTTTTCTATTTTTTGGTTTAGTGGTATAAATCTGATTGGGTAGACGGAATAAATGAAATTTCTTTATAATCAATTGCCAATGCACATTATATTTGGTATTTTTTTTTTTTTTTTCGGAACATTAAGGGAACTATTATAAATCAAAACGCACAAAGTACGAATAAAAGTGCAAAGCTTCCAACGGGAGAATAAAATAGAAAGACATAACCAATATTTGCCTTGAACACATAGCCAATATTATATTATTGTAAGATAAGACTTAGGTTAGACAAGCCTTATAATAATAATTTTTTGAAGAGCTCAAATGTTCTCATATTAAATGTACTTTAAAATTATAATCTTACCAAAAAAAAATGATGATTCGAAATATAAATATAAATATAAATATATTAAAGAATTATATCGGTCTGTTTGTCTAACCATTAGGCTACCTCATAACAATATTTGTGTATCTAATTGGCATGATTACACACTCAATTTGATGTAATAACCAACTAATCAACTACACACAATTTTGAGATGGTTAACAAAATGGTGTAACATAAAGTTTTTTGCACATGCCTTTGCTTTTGTCAAGCCAATCTTTATATGGGCCAATTTGAATGATAAATATCTTATTCAAGAACCTCCAAATATATACTTTGGAAAGATTGTATAAGTTTGCTTCAATCATATTTGCCATGGTCCCTTCTCTATCTTCTTTACCCTTTTTTTCAATAGACAAAATTAATTCAACAATTTTAGATATTTCATATTATGTGATATAGTTTTTGGGGTCTACATTTGTCTATAAAGTTTATTAAAGCAACAATAATTAACTAACAACAAACATTTTTATTTACAAAAACAATATAAATAAAATTATGGCATTTCACATTATAAACATTTTTTTTTTTCAAACTATGATCTAGAAAAAGAATTATTTTGGTGGAAAAATAAAATAATTTTTAAATTGTGAATGAATATGAAGTAAAATGAATGATTAAATTTGATTCATTGAAAATATTCTAACAATAAATAAAATTGATTTATTGATAATATGTGAATTGAGGTTAGTGAATTTATATATATATAAAAAAAATGTGTAGGAATGGTTGATTTTTATTATTTAATTGTATTGGCACTATTGAGGATAAAAATATTGAGTCATATAAATTTTATTTAAATAAAAAAATATATATTCCATCATAGTTTCGTTAAAAATAAAAAAGAAAAAAGATCTGGTCAGATAAAAAAATAAAATAAAATAAAATGAATTATAATCTTACTGAAATAAAAGCCTATATTACAACTGGGCTTACTGCCCAACCCAACTGTTTGGTCTGACGAACATTAATATGCCCAGATTACTTGTAATCCAGCCCAAATTATTTTGGCCCAGTTTAGCTTCTCAGGTTTTCCCATCCCCACTTCACAGTTCACACCCCGAGGCCATAACCCAGGCCGCGCCACCACCAATCACCGCCGACGCCGAGACTCAATCTCGTCAGCCCACACTGTAAGTATCATCATTTGGGTCTCAATTTTTTGTCGATCTCGATCGATTGTATCGAGTGACTGAGTTTTTTCTGTAATTTGTTGAATTTATCAGGCAGATTAAAATAGATTATTACAGAGCCCCACTTTTGCTTTTCGAATTCTCGTCGGCTGTCCGACAAAAATGGCTGCTTCTAATTCTTCGAAACTGTTTCGAGGTATGCATCTTTTCACCTCACTTGATTTAATTTTCATCCCATTCGTGTTCGTGAGTTGAAGGGCAATTATGCGTATACTGACGATTTTTCCATTTCTTGATTTATTTTATATATTCACCTCCCTGCTATTGAATATGCAGCTTCGTAAATGATGGATGTTGAAAAGTAACAAAACCGTACTCTTCAGCAGATGGGTGTATCGTTTAATACGTTTTATCTGTTGTTTTGAGGATAAAGATCCGATTTTTAGTTGCGGAAAATGCTAGGGTCCCTTTACGGTATCATCCCGTCGGGTGTTTTAACCGTTGGATCATCTATCTTATACTAACTACATGTGTATCCAACACGGTTAAAACATCCGACGGGATGGTACCGTAACGTAACGGGACTGCAGATTATTTCTGGGATGTTTATTTCTTTTGTGAAGATTCGTAATCCATCCTTTTACGGAATTAGATAGATTTGTATAGATACCTATGTTCTTGAGGAAACAAAAGAATTCCCCTTTTTTTCATTTCCAGAATTTGCTCTGTTTTTTCTGCAATTTTCTTGCAATGTACTGTTATTGGCTGATTGTTTTGGGAGCAATACATTGCTGAGTTTTTCAGCAGTAATTGTGTGCTTGGACCACTAATAAATGGTAACTAATATTATTATTGTGTAATTGGAGAAAACATCAGTTGGTCGTTCGATTCTAGGCGGCCTCACCAATGGTGCTTTCGGTTCCATCCGTTCATCTCCCCAGACGACACATTCGGATTTCTTATCCCAGGTTGAAATTATCTCTTTTTCCCCTTTTAATATTTATAGCTAAGTGATGATAAAAATGCATTATCTTACACTGATATGTCGAAACAGCTGAATTGATCGTTTGTTGTGCTTTTGTCCAGCAAACGAGAACTTTCGTACAGATGAGGACCAACCTTAAAGTGGTGGACAACTCGGGAGCCAAAAGGGTTATGTGCATACAAGCGTTGAAAGGAAGGAAAGGGGCTCGACTTGGGGACACGATAGTGGCCTCGGTTAAGGAAGCTCATATGGGCGGGAAAGTGAAAAAGGGAGACGTTCATTATGCGGTTGTTGTTCGTGCCGCAATGCAACGAGGAAGGTGTGATGGGAGTGAAGTCAAGTTTGATGATAATGCTGTCGTGCTCATCAATAAACAAGGTGAGCCAATAGGGACACGAGTTTTTGGCCCGGTTCCCCATGAGCTGAGGAAAAAGAAGCATCTCAAGATTCTCAGTCTTGCCGAGCATATTGCTTGATGAGTT